TGCAGAGCTGAGAGGGTTGGGATCAGTTGAAACAAGTGGAATGCAATTAGGTAGGGGGTTCAACTGATAAGATGGCAGTAAAATTCTCTTTTGCCAGTGTGTGAAAAAACTGAGGGATTAAGAGGGAAAAAGTAACCCTTAGTTTTGATTTGTCACTCGGATTTACGGTTTAAAATGATGGAGGTGGCGGCCTCAAGGGAATGCCATTATAAACGCGAAAATTTTGTAAAGAATGCAACGAGAAAACGTGTACAAAGTAGATTTGTATTGATGAATTTGTAGGTTACAGTCTCTGTTTACAATTTTCCCTCTAATCTAGTCTTCAAATTTGATGTCGATGCTTAGGTTGTTAATACAAGGGTCGCAATGACTTGATCTGGGATGAACGATTGAACCATTGCTTCAAGTTTTGAGCTTGAAACAATGCGTGGATAGTTTTCACCCCTGGGTTTATGTATGACATGCGGCAAAGGTGATGTCAATGTGGGATTTTGTTGATTCTAGGCTCTTGGGGACTTGATCTTGAAACAAACGTCGTTGCAAGTTTTGAGCTTGCAACAAAGTCTTGAAGGAATCGGCATAAGTGGTTGTTAATTCTTCAAGGGAGCGCTTCGGCTTTGGTTGTGAGTTCTTTGAAAAGAGCTTTAAAACCATATTATTCTTCAAAGATTTGGCAGAGATTCTTCTCAATGTGAGAATTTTGGCCCTTGAATGTAGAAATTGTCGACGTTTTGCTTGTCCTAGGACCTTGTATTTACAGACTTCCAAAGCCATGCCTTTGGGTGGATTTGGCTTTGATTTGTGTCTTGATTCGTCCATGGGAGAATTTAGGCATGTTTTGTGTCTTAATTTCAGCCACTTTCCCTTGCTTGGCCAAAATCTATAAGGCTTTCTTGCGTATTTTGCGATCAATCTTCAATTCTTGCTTGTTTTGTGAAGATTCCTTAACTTTCTTTTCGGTTTTAGGAGCAATTTGGGCCCCTTGCCATTTTTAAGGAGATTTCTTCCCCTTTGCCGAATTTTAGGAATACTTTTGAGCTTCCTTTACTTGTTTTGTGCCACATGTCACTGATGACTTGTCCATTTATGATGAGTCATATGCCCCGTGGAGCTTTGTGATGCATCATTTGCATGTAACGAAATTTACATGTCTACAAATGCCCCCACTTTAAGGCGCGTTGTAGGCATGTGCTTTTCATATGTAGGAAACGTGTGTTGAAGTCCTGCACTATGATTGTTCTAACTCAAGGGTCATCGAGACATGATCTTAAATTAGTTTACTTCTTGAAGGGTCGTAGAGGTGTATTTCTTGAATTGAGATGATGAATTTCGTCAAGGGCCGTTGAGGCATATTTCTTGGACAATATATTTCTGCAAGGGTCATTGAGGCATATTTCTTGAATAAATGAAGGCTTTCTTCAACGGCCGTAGAGGCTTCATCTTGAAAGAAATGAAAATTTTCTTCAAGGGCCATAGATGCTTGATTTTGAATGAAATGAAAATTTTCTTCAAGGGTCGTAGAGGCTTGATCTTGAATGAAAATTTTGAAAATGGATAAATCAACACATACTTATTATGTGTATTGATTTTCCATAATTTTTTGACAAGATACATTTGGTGTCTTTTGAGGCTTGGATTTTTTCCTTGTAGGTGTGGGAAAAATGCATTTTTCTTCCTTAGGTGGGAATCACCTTCAAGTTTGGTAATGAGGGTGATTTCCTTCAAAGTGTTGGAAAGCTTTGGTGATTTCCTTCAAGGTTTTGGAAAGATTTAATGTTTGTCCTTGGGTAAGTAGGATTTGCATTTGTTTTTCTTTCCCCTTTCTCTTTTTCATGGCAATGAGGGTATTTTTCTCCATGTTTTGGGAAACTTGAAGACTCGTCCTTGCTTGGAGGGATTTCCTTTTTGTATTTTGGCAAGGAGAGGTACTTTCCTTTGTTGTTTTGGAAATTTTGAAGCCCTTTCGTTTTTTTTTTTTTTTTTTTTCCTTTTCTTCTCTTTGCTGATTTTGTTGCAAAAACAACATGTATTTCCCATGTTGGTTGAAACTACATTGCCCTTTTTTGCTTGGAATTTGCTTCCTTCTTTTGGTTGGAATGTACTTCTTTCTTTTGATTTTCCTTTTACTATTTGGCATGTATTTCCTTCGTAGCATTAGGAAGCAATTGACCCCTATTTATAGGACAACTAGGTGTGTGTTTCTGTCACAAAACCTTCTTGTCATGCACTGCTTGCCATGCCTTATGCTTTTTACCGTGTCATGCTGTGTAAAAGACTACAGATGAGTTTTTCTATTTAGTGCCTTTTGTTCATAGTTTTCCCTCAGTGGTGACATTGCCGTGCATTGCAAGAAACTGCTTGCGTAATCGTTGCGGGGTTGCATAGCTACCCTCTTTGTCGTACTGCTCAAGCTTTGTGGATAATTTCTTTTCATCATTGTGACTTTGTCATCGTCATCCTTCAACGCTCACGAGGTTTGTCTCGCATGTATTTTTCTTTAGTGACTTTGTCATTGTCATCCTTCAACGCTTACAAGGTTTGTCTCATTGTGACTTTGTCATCGTCATCCTTCAATGCTCAAATTATTTTGCCGTCCCACCTTGTGCTTTAGTTGTCTTTCTTTTCTTTTTTTCTTTCTTGTTTTTTTTTTTGTTGCAGCCATGGTATTTTTCAAGTTCTTTAAGAGCAATACCATCACCATTCTTGTGAAGGAAGGTGATTCATAAGATAGGGGAATGCCGTTGAAGTTTGTGCGCCGTTGACTGGCCCTAAGGCGCTTGTTCTTCCTATGAAAGACAACTCGATGCATATCAAGTCATGGTCTTTTGAAGTATGATGGGAGGTAATAGATTTTGATCAACCAAATACGAAGAAGAAGGCATGTACATTGAGGATTCTTATCTTGAATCTTTTGCACCATGTTCGTGATAATCAACTAGCTTTGTTTGAGCTTCTTGGCAATCACATCTGTAGCGAAGCTATAACTTGGAATAGCACCTTGTCGACTACTGGAGAAGCTGTCTTTGCTGAGTTTTGTTGGGAGTGGCTTGAAGATGTCTTGAGCCGATCTACAGATGTGCTTACCAACGTAGGCCTTTATCACATCGTGTACGCATCTTTGTTTAGTTATGATCGCCATGCTTTCGTCAGTCGTGCATTCTTTGAGTATTGGTGTTCAGGGACTAACACACTTCACACATCACAAAGGATCTCCATAATGTAGGAGGCTTGCCGATCCAAGGTAAGTTTTCTAACGAGGTTTTTCCTAGCGTGCAGGAATTTTCTCATCACAATAGCCGAGGATTGCCTGCAAGTTGCCATTATTTATTTTGGGCGTATCACAAGCTTTGCCAAGAGGCTTAGGGTAAGTTAGGCGTGAAGATTTCTTCATGGATTCAATTTTGGTTCACCTAGGTGCCGTGCCCTTGCCGAGTTGAAAGCGTTTGAGGATCTTGGTGTAGTGTCAAAGTACATGGAAGAATCTTACCTAGCCATTTTCTTAGCTTCTTGGCTTTGTAAGTTTGTTTTCCCAAAGACGATGTCAACTTTATCTGCCCTAGAGTCTTCAAGATGGCTAGCAAGATGGTTGTAGGTGAACCTTTCTGCCTTGCTATTCCAGTCTTAGCCAATATTTATGATACCCTAAGCATTGTTTCGAACTCAGCGAGTACTGAAGATCGTGTTGCGGTACTTCCCTAACATTATGTGTATTGTTGGTTAGGTGAGTGCTTTGGCACTTATTTATCTTCGTCAACTTTAGACAAGTCGGGGCTTTCTTTGTCAACTTCAGTCAAGTCAGGCCCTTCAATGACAAAGTACTTTAGCATGCTTTTTGGAAAGAGCCTTAATGATTTGTAAGTGTAAACGTTGTTTAGAAGCTGTGAAGGTTTGAGAATGGATCATCTGGTGAGAGTAGGCTCAGCGCGGCGAGGCCTCATAAATGATTCACACCTTCATTTCTTAGACTTGTCTTATCTCACAAGTCTTCGCTCGGGGTATGTTTCTTTACAACTAGGAGACCTATGTATTGTTCAGCCGTATAGTCTACTCCGTTTCAGCAAGTAGTTTGGGTTTGTCCAACATGTGCCAGGTAAGCTGAAGGAAAACGCACAGTCAGAATCCTTGCAAGCTGTGTATATGCATTGGGAGTCTTGTACCCGTGCATGCATAAATGCTTCTATCACCCTGCCGACCAAGGACGAGTTCAAGAGCAATCCAGTGACCTGTGCCTACGTAGGTTGGGGGTCAAAGGTACACCATAAAAACTTGGGGACATCAAGTAACAACAATTCTTCTCGTTCACAAAATGATGCACTAAGAGAGGGTTATTCTACGGTTCCTACGCAACTGGCACCTTTTGATTGTGCGAGTGTAGCTCCTTTGCAAGATGGACTTGCGGCTTTAACTCATCAACGCCCGTGCTTGTCTTCTTAACATTCGAATGCATCTAAAGAGGCGGATGATGAAGTTGATTCACATGAAGATGAACTTGTTTTGCAGCAGCGCCAACAATTTTTGAACAAGCGACCGCATGAAAGTGCTCTGGATGACAACAACGTTAATTTCCATCATAAAAGAAGAAAGTGTTAAGGCCTCCTCAATTTGATGGTCGTAAATCACTTGAGAAAGATGTATGTATTTCCTTCTTTCTTGTGATTTCTCCTGCTTTCATTAGTTTAGCTTTTGTTTCTAACACCTTTCTTTGTCTTCTTTAGGCTGGGCACTCTTGTTCTTTTAACTTGGTAAACATAAGCGTTCATTCCTTTACGGAGAGGCTATTTGGAGGCAATCTACCTACATACGAGGAGATTGGGGATCCGCCCGGTGTAGAGCTTATTCCAAATCTGCCAAGTTGCCCAAATTTGTCGTGTGTAGGTGAAGGTATGCAAGAGCCCATCATGCATCCAACACCTTTGCAAGCTACCTCTGAGATCTCTTTGAGTGGGTCGAACCTTAGTGGCACCGAGCTGCTTATCCATCGCATCAACCTTCCCACGGCCATGGATATCAAGAGCCATATTGAGAAGAGGATTTCAAAGTGCCCATTGGAGGACCTTGCATTGCTCAAGGAAGACTTGGCGAAGCTTATTTCTGCGATTAACAACATTATCATTGATTCCTCACTCTTGAGAGCCAAGATTGCCGAGCTTATGGCTACCTCAACTAAGTATTCTTCTTTGCATGATGTTTCCTCGAACAAGTTTAAATCTAAAGGTTAGAGTTCAGCAGCTTGCAGCAATAGACTTATCAAATGCCCAAGTTCGGTCTTTGCAGCAAGCCACTTCGGAAGGTTATCAAGTCACAGGGACTTCTTTAGCTTCCATCCAAGTGCATCTAGAAGTGTTGGTGCGAGAGCAAGAGCAGTTGGAAATCGAAGCATCACGACTTCAATGTGTTCTCTCAAAGCAGGAAGCTACACTTTCTCAGCATTAAGAGAAGATTTCACGCCTAGAGCAAGTGAAAGTCATAGCTATGGAGTTGGCCATCTTGTCTCCCACTGCTGTGGAGACTTTGAAGACTCCATATAAACGGAGCATCCTTCTTCACGAGTCAACTAAAGGGTTGACAGGGTCGAGTGAAGTTGGAGATGAAGCCTTTGATGAAGGCTAGCCGCCCATGTAAACTTTTTAGCTCATGTAAGTTCCTTGGTTTAGGCATGCTTTGGATGGCCTTGATCTTCAATTGGTCTACTTTAATGCCACGGTGCTTGACAATGAAGCCGAGGAACTTGCTAGAGGTGACGCCAAATGCACAGTTCAACAGGTTCATGTTAAGGTTGTAGTGTCGTAGTTCGTTGAACACCATTCGTAAATCTTTCAAGTGATTGGATCTCTTTTTGGACTTGACAACTAAGTCATCCACGTAACATTCTACGTTTTTATGTTGCATGTCATTAAAGATCTTCTACATTGCGTATTTATATGTAGCTCCAGCATTCTTCAAGCCAAAGGGCATTACCTTGTAGCAATGGATACCTTTCGGAGTGTGGAAGGGGTTAGTTCCTCATCTTCGAAAGCCATGTGGATTTGATTGTATCTAGAGAAGCTGTCCATGAATGATAGTGCCTCATGGCCAGTGATTGCATCCACCATGATTTCGATGATGGGCAAGAAAAAGTCATCCTTCTGGCAAGCATTGTTGAGGTCGGCGAAATTTACTCAAATATGTATTTGTCCAGATTTCTTAAGGACAAAGATGATGTTGGACATCTATTTATGGTATTGCAGCTCTTGAATGAAGCTTGCTTCAATTAGTTTGTCAATCTCGGTTGCGTTCCAAGCTTGATTGCAAGACGATGCATCGCGATTGTAGGGTTAAGGTCGGGCATTTCTTTGTGGGTCCAAGCAAAGACACATTTGTACTCCAATAGTAGTTGGTAGTACTCCTCGATCTCTTCCGCACTTAGCAGTGCAGTTACAAAGATAGGTTTCGGGTCTTCGTTTGTGCCTAAGTTAAGCTTCTTGAGATCATCAACTGTGGCTTGCCCCTCATCCTCGAGTTATGGTGGTGCAGCAGTGATGTCTTCTTCAAAGGTTTCGTCCTCTTTGCCTTTTTGGATCGTGATGTGGAAGACGTCTTGGACCTTTTCTTCAATGCCATCCCCTTGGGCTTGTTGGCATGAAGATTAGCCAGTGTGTACTATGGTGCGCCTCATTACCTTTAGTTGTCTTTTTCTGTTGACTTTTGAGGTTGCTTGGTGCTTCATCCTTGAAGAAATCGAGCTTCGAACGTCGTCTTTTTCTGCTAAATCGTCGAGCTTTTCTTTCTTCGGTGTTGTCTTCCTCTTTTTAGAAGGCTTCTTGGTTTCTTCAATTCTCCCTTTAGTGATTATACACCTTTTGGGCTTCCACAAACAATGAGTGACACCTAGTAGTATGTCATGGCAACCCAAGCTAATCATAAGAGGTGGAGAATCCATTCAGTTTGGGATTAAAATGCAATACAGTGTTTTTCTAATATAATACTCTTGACCACATTGTTTGGTTTGGCAGTTTTTGTCACATCCGAGTTTCGACTTTACCACAGCATAATATTGTCTGCTTTGGGCTTACCATTCCCTCACAGATTTGTTTCTAGGAACTCAGATGAGAACTTCCCAGAGGGGTCACCCATCCTAGGACTGCTCTTGCCCGAACTCCCTTAACTTTGGAGTTCCGACAGAATCCGAAGCCAGTGAGTTCCCAAAAGGCCTCATGCTATAGGGAGGGAAGTATGTACATATAAGGCACATCACCCCCTGTCCGTTAGTCGATGTGGGATCTCATAATCCACCCCACTTAAGGGGAACTCGGTGTCCTCACTACCACATTCGCATCGAATGGCAGAATGGCACTGATACCAAATTGTCACATCCCATTCTCGACTCCATCGTAGCACGTTATTGTCCGCTTTGGGTCACCTCCCATTTGCAAGACGCATTTTTGGAAGTTGCTCTTGAGTTCCCAAAAACAAAACCGTGAAGGAATGGTAAGCCGAAAACGGACAATATCGTGCTGCGGTGGAGTCGAGATTGGGATGTGATAGTTTATTCATGTCTACTATCCAATGTGATTCTCTTACTTATATGATTACCTTGAACATGATTTGGAATGACTTCCTAAATCTCATTCACATGGGGGCCAGAGATTCTTAATCATCTCATAGAGTATTTTCCTTGAAACGGTTTGAAGGTTAGAGATCCCTTGTTGTGCATTCACTTGCCTCCACGGCTAAGTTGCTTAACCCCAACTATGTCGTCGACACCTTTTGACGGAGTGACTTTGATATAGTCAAAGGTCAAGGACCTAACCATAAGACAACTATGATGCCTCAGGTCAAAGGACTAAGTTGCATTATCCCAACCATGAGTTCTCATGTCACATGAGTATGAGAACTCCTAGTTGATCGCGTTCAGTGGACTCATTCTCTATTGAGCACCTACATGCTTGTCTTGGTGTCAGTCACACCAATGACTCAAGACCAGTCACTCTCTCTAAAAGAAGACATAGCACGTACTGATCTTAATAGACTGTTAATGCCCAATTGGCAATCCTATGATCAAGAACGTTTAGGATTTGTATACGAAAGAGAATGGTCTCAGGAATCTAACTTCTTTAGATCACATTCTCCTAATTACATATTCCATGGGCTTATCGTTTAAGCATATAAAATTTATATGTGGTGACTTTAAAAAATAATCTTTGCCCTTTATGTTAAACTAGATTAGTTTAACATGTGAAATGTCGTAAGGTATCATCATATGGTTGGCTTTTAGGGCACATTTCCAACATCTATAAACCGTCTCTGTTGAATGGTTTGAACTTTATGACTATGTCATAGAGTTACACCTCTTAATTCGAAACAAAGAAGAATGAAATTCCTTATGGCTACAATGAGTGTATAGACAAAATATACTCAAGGAAATGATATAGTAGCATTTTACCCAAAATAATGAAACCTTAATAGCTAATTATTAGCTTAAGGTGAGTACAATCAACGAGAGTGGTTGACTTGGAAGAAACCATCTGTGACGTAATCTTGGCTTCGCTTAATTCGAAGATTGCTAGCTACAACTAAACGGTGATTCAATGTTTGGACATAATATGGGTTTCCAAAACCATTATCAAGATAGTCTTGATAATATATGTCTAAGACTAGTTATCATAAGACGTGAAAGTTGTAGAGATTCATCCATCATGAATCTTAGCAAGCTAGTGGGAGTCATAAGCGTCTTATGAGAGAAAGATCAAATCGTTTGATTTCTCATAAAGATGTAAATGAATCTTTTGTTTACTAGGTTTACAAAAGATTAGTGGGAGTTAATCATATTCCTAAATTTGAACATATATATGATATATTAATTTTGCAAATGAAAGGAATTCTTCTTCGTTAAAGTTATGACTTTAAAGATTCTATAATGTTAGAATGTATATGGGAGACATAGTCTATATACATAGGATGGAAATCTATAATGATAGATTTCAAGATACAATTGGATTATCACAAATCCCTATTGATAGATAATAGATGTAGGAAGTTTATCGAATAATAAATTTCAAATGAAAGGACAATTCCAATCAGACTGGGAAATTGCTCTTCTAAGGAGGAATGTATCCTTTTGACTCCCAAAAAAGCTTAATGCAGAAATAGAATCCTTTATGCATACGCAGAAATGTGATTTATGTATTTCATATTGTATGAAAAACGTTGATATGAGTTGTACCAAGATCGGTACAGGACGATATCAGTGCAAGCCCAGGATTATGAGTAGTAGGGTCCAATGCCCAATAAGAAAACACGCCTTAATGTGATTAAACGTGTTACTAAAATAAATCACCATCCCTAGGCCGAGATCCAACACTAGGCTCTTGTTAGATCGAATCAAAGGTTAATAGTCATCCTGAGGCCCTAAGGCAACTATATAGTCTATCAATGAATGCAAAGCTTATGTTAATAGTACCATATACTCTTGCTTTAAAAACCGTTTTACGAACATAGTGAGAGTATCATATACTACTAAATCAATCACATGGACCAATAGTTGTAATCGGACCAAATTGTTTTAGTGAGATTAAAATGCATGCTTATATGTGATGAGACCTAAAAACCCTCAACCAAACCATTATTAAGTTGACAAGCGTGAGAGTGCTTTGAACACTCTTTCGTGACCTTCCACCGTGGTAGGCTCCGATCATTTGTGTCTCATACACCGTCTTCACCCTATAATGGAGAAGGTCAAAGTATGTGCTTACATTATGAGTAAGTGCACTCTTACATTATTATTAACGCTAGCCAACATCATATAATTGTGAGGTGAGCCTCCCATACCCTACTAAGAGTTTCCTCCAAAACTCTCGAATTCCAATAAGGGATATGGAATTTGCCAAAAATAATGGGCAGTGCTATTGGAAGGAAAAATTCTCAAATTCCAATGAGGGAGAGTGACTAGTCTTGAATCATTGGGGTGACTGACACCAAGACAAGCATGTAGGTGCTCAATAAAGAATGAGTCCACTGAACGCGATCAACAAGGAGTTTTTATACTCATGCCACATGAGAATTCATGGTTGGGATAATGCAAAGTAGTCCTTTGACTTGGGGCATCATAGTTGTCTTATGGTTATGTCCTTGATCTTTGACTATGTCAAAGTCACTCCATCAAGGGGTGTCCACGGAGGCAAGTGAATGCACAACAAGATATCTCTAACCTTCAAACTGTTTAAGGGAGAATACTCTATAATATGATTAAGAATCTCTAGCCATAGTATGAATGAGATTTAGGAAGTTGTTGCAAATCATATCCAAGGTAATCATATAAGTAAAACAATCACATTGGATAGTAGACATGAATAAACTATCAAACCAAACAACGTGGTCAAAAGTATTGTATTAGAGAAAGACCGTATTGAATTGTAATTTAAACTAAATAGGTTCTCCACCTCTTCTGATTAGCTTGGGTATCCACGATATACTGCTAGGTGTCAATCATGGTTTGTGGAAGCCCTAAAGGTGTATAATCACTAAAGGGAGAATTGAAAGTATGTTTCAATTCACAATCGATTTGAAGAGTTCTAATCGCCCATTGCCTTGCTAAAAGGAACCTAATGGATTGTACACCGTGTAAGGTAGAGATTGAAGAAACAACAGAGATGAGTAAAGATAATTAAATGGTTTAATTATTTATGGCTAGGATTAATTAATATGTTAATTAATCAAACGAATAAGTTTGTATTAGACCTCGGGTTAGTGTTGGGCCTCAAGGTCCATTGGGATTTGAATGTCAAGTCCAATAACTCAAGTTGTATGATAACGCGAACACACAAAGGGCTTGAAAGCCCAATAAACCCATCAAGGCCGGCCACAAGAGTGAGGGGTAATGAACTTGGCTTAATTGCAAGTTTGCCACTCAACTGTGAGGTGGTATAAATGCATCTTTATAGCCATTTCATCATTAGGGTTTTCTTTGAGGAAATTGGAGAGAACACAACCTCTCCTTTTTCTCTCTAAGAGGCTGGCCACCCTAGAGGAAAATAGCTTGCAATCTTTCTTCCTCTATGTCACTCATCTCTTCCTCAATGCTCTCCTTGGTGTGGTGACTTAGAGGTTCCCTATTTTGGGAACTTGGAGAATCCATTCCTTCATCCATCCAAGAAGTCATGGAGCAAAGAAGCAAAGTTCCTCCATCCACATCCATTGAGTCAAGGAGCAATGAGACTAAGGAAAGAAGGGCATCACATGGGTGAATATCCTTTGCTAAGCAGCGAGGTGCTTCAAAGGTATAAAAGTTTCTCAACTCTTTTCCTTAAGACTTGTGTTGAGTCTTGGTTCACCACAATTACTAGGCCTTGAATTTCATGGATAAAGTTTTGTTTTTGAGTGCATACAAGCATGATTCCGCCTTTTAATTGTTAATTGCATGCATAGATGTTGCTTAAATGAACTAGTTTTCACAAATATTTCCTTCATACTTGAGAAGACTCAGGCACTCATGTTGTATATGAACGTACCCAAAAGTTTTGGCCATATGCAATCCTTACAACCATCTATTTGATCAACAGGCTTCCCAGATGTTTCAAATCACCATATGAAACCCTTAAAAACAGACCAATAAATCTGTCACACTTGAAAGTTTTCAGTTGCACTTGTTTTGTACATGTGCAAACTCAACACCGTGACAAATTGGATGCTAGGGCTGTGAAATGTGTGTTCATAGGATACTCCTCTACTCAAAAGGGATATAAATGTTTTAATCTTATCACTAACAAGTGTGTTTTATCCAAAGATGTTCACTTTAAGGAAGAAACTCCATTCTTTAAAAGGGATCCTACTTCATGTGAGGGGGAGCTTTTATGTGATTTGTTTCCATTGCCTATATATACTGAGCCCTTGATTCATGATGATTCCTTAAAGGGTAGTTGCAGTTGTGAGGATACATCTCAATCCAACTCACAAGAAAATGATGATCTTGAGGCTACATCTTAATCTTTCACTCACCAACCTGCTCAAGATGTTAGGAGGAATCCACCTCGAGAAAGGAAAGCCCTTGCCAAGTTTGTAGACTATGTTGCTTATGCTTCTAGATATCCCATCTCTAAACCAATAATTCATCACAGTTTTTCAAACTCACGTATTGCCTTTTTTATTGAAGTCTCAACTCTTGTAGAGCCTAACACCTTTCAAGAAGCCAATCTCATCCCTCACTGGAGGAAAGCCATGTCTGAAGAACTTCAAGCCTTGGAGGAGAATTGTACTTGGAGTATTGTTCAATTACCTTTTGGAGTATTGTGCGAAGTGGAATCAGTGAGGAGTTGATAGTTCTTATTTAAGAAGAAGATCTTATCATCACAGGTGACAGTGCCTTTGAGATTGAAGCCCTAAAAGCCTCCTTACATCAAACCTTTGCCATCAAGGATCTTGGGAAGTTGAAGTATTTTCTTGGCATTGAGATGGCAACCTCACGACGAGGTTTGTTTTTAAACCAACATAAATATGTCATGGATCTACTCAAGGAAGCTAAGTTCACTGACTGTCAGCCAGTTGCCACCCCAATTGACAATAAACTCAAGCTTACCATAGATGTCGAACCACTCAAGAACATTACATATTATCAAATATTGGTTGGTAAGCTAATCTATCTTACCATCATTCGTCCAGACATTACTTTTGCTGTCACTTGGTCAATCAATTCATGCATGTACCCACAGTTGAACATCTCAATATTGTTAAAAGGATCATTTGCTATCTCAATGGATCCATCGATAGGGGTATTCTTATGCGTAACAATCATTCCACTGAGATTCATGCATACACTAATGTTGATTGGGTAGGCAATGCAATTGACAGAAAATCCACCACTGGTTATTGCACATTTTTTGGAGGCAACATTGTTACTTGGAAGAGTAAAAAACAACAAGTCATTGCTCGCTCTAGTGCTGAAGTTGAGTATCGAGCCATGGCTGCTACTGCATGTGAATTGATTTGGCTTAAAGGTCTCTTGCTTGATCGAGGGCTCTCGAGTACAACTCCTATGTCTCTCATGTGTGATAATCAGGCAGACATGCACATTGATGCAAACCCAGTTTTTCATGAAAGGACCAAGCATATTGAAGTTGGTTGTCACTTCATCAGGGCTTAAGTTCAGTCACAACTCATTCAAACAATCTTCACTCGCAGTTATGATCAATTGGAAAATGAGTTCACTAAAGCTCTATCATCTGCACATTTTCAGCATCTTCTAGGCATGCTTGGCTCGATTATACTAGTCGATCCAGCTTGAGCAGTAGTATTGAGAGTTACTAACTAACCCTAGACAGATTATGTAGATTATGTAATCCGAAAATCATGACATTTTCTTTGTCGACTTTAGCCTTGACAGAAAAGTGTAAATCACTCCTTACTTGTGGTTGGTTTCCTCCATTAAGGAGCATGGCTGATCACTAGTACTTGGTGTAATTTCCTCCAATTAAGGAGCATGGCTGGTCTCTAGGGTTTATCTAAGGATAGTTGATTGTAACTAGTCCTTCTTCTCATATATATGTGTATCCTTGTACATTCAACAAGTTTTAAGCGATAAAGTTTGAAAAGTGAAAGAATGTAAACAAGTAAAACAAGTTTGATAAAAAAATATCACGATTTCTAACATGCAAACTGCACTTTGCAGACCGTGTGTGCGGACCTAATGTGAGCCATTGGATAAAATCTAAATGGCTAAAAACCAATCCATCAAAATGAGTTTAGTGGAAAACTGGGTCATAAATGACCCGTCACTAATCGAAAATGGAACCGGCATCAATTCAAAATTTTTGGGATTGAAACTCCTCCCCCCTCCCCCAACCCCCCGACATCAACAATTACTGTGGAGCCAAAAATAATCAAGAAAATCACATAGGCGACATGTGGACTTTTGGGTGAAGAAGACAAAATTACCCTTGAGGCACACTGGGATTCCCACGCGCATGCAATGAACAATAACAGCTCGATGGAGGTCAAAGGTGATCAAAATGGTATTCTTTTAAACTCTCTCATCATTCCTCATCAAATGCTCACCCACAAGGTAGCTCCCAATCATCCTTTTCAAATTAGGATTAATTGCTAAAAGCAATTGATTAATTTCCTAATTAATTGATTAATTGCCAAACTAATTCAAGATATTATTTTACAATCAATCCCACAAATCAACCAAATGTGGCTGGTCCCAATTCTCCTAATAGGGATGGCCACACCCCTATACATAGCCACTAATTTTCTCCAAAAACTAAGTCCAATTCTCTTCTAGAATTCTCCAAATTTCTCGAAACACTTTCTCTCTCAAATTCTAACTTTGGCATTGGAGGTTCTTCGGCCAAAGCCTCCCCATTAATGGTGGGCGCATGAGGCTCTTGGCCTAGACCTAAGGTGTTAATCGTTTTACAGGTGCATTTTCATCCGTAAATTGGTTCTTTCATTGAGAGTTTGATTCACATGCTCAAAGAAGACTCTCGCATTCAAAGTTTCTAATTTCTCATTCATTCATAAATTTTTCATACTTTCTTATTCCTACAATTTTTTAATTCGTTGAAAAGGGAAAAATACAATGATGGGAAAGTCGAAAACCACGATGAACGAAACTTCCTAAGTTCAAAGATCCGGATCGAATGATGGAAGACGAGACGTAGCCCCACCACGACGATCCACAAGGCTCAATACGATGGCAAGAGGAGCAACTTTGCCACCAAGGAGCACCACTACTATGGCAGTTACAAGGACCACCGTGGCAATGGGGAGTGGGCCAGATCCATGGCAGCAAACCTACCGTGAGCAGGGGTAGCAAGGCAGCCACCATCCTATGCCCACGCCACTTTACAGCAGCAAGCCCAGGCACTAGAAGCAGCCTAAGCTGCTACCCCAGTAGTGCAAGCCCAATCTGCAGCCCATACTGCAAGGTAGCCGAGGCAAGCCAAACCCTAGTCGGCCGGAGTGACTACATCAACCATGCAAGCCTAAGTAGCTACGGCAAGAGAAGCAGCCCAACGCTTATGGGCCCAAGGCCAGTGCACTCCCAAGCAGAGCCCAGGCTTAGCGCCTAAGCGCACCACACGTGGGGCAATCCACGCCAGCGACCCAACCTGCTCCTGTAATTCGACTCGCTCTCGTAGCCCAATCCGAGGCCTAATCCACTTTTGTGGCCCTCCAAGACCGATTCAACTGTCTTGGCTTTAGATTTATGGACTGTCAATTGAACTAGGGGTATTTTCACCTTATTTCTTCACAGATTTAACATTTCCCAACTCAAATCTCGCACCTGGAGTCCATTACACTTTTATTACTCAAGGAAACACATACCGTCTAAACTCTTTCACCCCACATGGCGAACAACACTTCTCTCGACAAGTTATAGAGTTGACAAACGCCTTTGCGCAATAGACTACCTTGGTGAATCATCTCTTGTAGCGTACTAAGATGCAGCTTGCCTTAGACGAGGTGTCCCGAAGTAGGACAAGGGTGGACGATGAACCTCTCTAGCAGTGTCCCCACAAACAGCCACTTAACCAATCACAAACCAAACCTTCTGGTAGTGTACACTCCCAACTGGGCCCTTTGATAGGAGCATATTCATGCGACTTAAATGGCTTGTTCTCGTACATTTACGTTATGTTTCTTTAGTTATTTTAGTTCTTTATGCTTCTTTTGTGTGTTTTCAGGTTCTAAGGGCTTAGGGAGCAAGAAAGTGCATTTTGAGGCCATTTGGAGCATTTTTGGGCATGGATTGGATAGCTTATCCATGGAGCCAAAGTTTGGACGAATTTGAAGGCCTTATTTTCACTTTGGACATAAAACAAAGGGCCTAGCCCATTCTCTCTTATTCTATCCCTTATAGCCATGCAAAGAACCATCCATTCCATCAAAAACAATCCATCAATTCACATGCAAAACCACCATTAACATACATGCACCCAAACAAAGCCAACCTAGCTAACCCTACATGCATTATTTATTAGCATCTTTACAAGACATTATCATTGCATAACATTCCACTTCCACCTCTTTCCAACCTAATTCACATGCATATCAACCCTACATACATTAATTAGTCATTCTTTTCATATTACACTCAAATGCATTCACATGCATTTCAAGAAGCAAAACAACATTGTGCCGTGAGCTTCCCTTGCATTTTCAGCTTTCCTCCTTGCATTCACATGCATAACCAACCTAGTGTCACTCCTATTCATTCCCTTTAATTATTTAGCCATTATCATACATTTATTCTCCCATAAACAACCCAACAATGCCGTGAGTTCCCACTCCCATTTCCAACTTTCCATAACTTTTCCTAGTTGTTTTATTACATACATTCCCCCTTCATTATTCCAAACACATGCACCCATAATCATTCATCCCCTCCTAGCTGCAATATTCCCTCTTTTGTTCCCCCATTTCACCTATAAATAAGCATCCAACACTCCTCAAAATTCATTCACTCTTCCATACACATTTTCAGTTACAAACACTTCCATTTTCTGTGCAGTTTTTCTCCTTCATTGCAGCCACTATCCAACCACTTCCCATCCCTCCAAAACACTTCACATAATCCCCAAAGCTCACCTTAGACCTTGTGCTACAACAACGAGGAAGAAAAGAGTGCTTAAACGTTCATACAATTCAAGTTTGAGTTGTTGGAATGTTTAGGTGTTTCTTTGATTTCAAAGTTTAAATTTAATTCTCTTTGTTTTGTACGTATGAGAAGGGAAGAGAAGAGTGCCTAAACGTTCATACAATTCACGTTTGAGTTGTTGGAATGTTTAGGTGTTTCTTTGATTTCAAAGTTATGAGGAACTAAACCCCCTTTAGCTAGGGGGTGATTCGAAACTATGTTTATATTTGCAATATGAATTGATTACTTTTGGTTGGTATTTCATAAGTTGTGGATTCAATTCGTTTAACTGTTTGATTGATAAATTATTTATGTATGTTCATTAAGATTGCAAGCTTAATTTTCATGCATGAATATGACGCTAGAATATAAGTGAGTTTCACCTAATCGTTATGAACTTATATTCACAAGTAGTGGAGGTTGCTTATAAACAATCGCGTTAAACGAATTCTTGGCATAAGTTTCATGCGTATTCCATAGTAACGAGTGCCTCGTCAACACTTATAATTTTCATTGAACTTAATGATCTTTGTTGAATGTCTCTATCATGCGTATTCCATAGTTAGGGACTTTGATTAAGAATAATTTGGTTGTAATGCGTATTCCATTCAATCCAATGAATTTAGGGAAATTTGAAAGTTAATTTAAGCGGACCTAATTAACTTGGAGCATTGAGTTTCATAATTTATCGAAAGACCAACCGAAAATCAATCTTGTATTGCAAGTGTAACATGTGTGGAGAAGAACCCCTTAGCTATTCCATCATCCATATTTTTATCACATTCATATTTACATTTTGCCTTCAATTATATTCTGTCTTTTTAATTTAATATCGTCCAACCACAATTCCCCCCCCTATTTTGTTAAAGTCTTAATCATTCGTATTTGTTTTATTTGTGTATCTTTAAAGCTTTTGGAGTGATAAACAATTGCAAATTCGTCTAAATCAAGTTCTAGCTTCTATTTGAGTCAATTTGATTGTTTTAGACAATTTGAGTTTTTCAAAGCCATTCTGAGTCATAGTAGTCTTGTTAAGAGTATTTTAATTTAGTTTTTATGTTTTTAAGTCAATTTAGAAGGTTTTAGCAAGCCCTCCTAATCCCCGGTCTAGAACGATCCCTCACTTATCCATTCTACTACAATTGTCAAACGAGGGTTTAATTTGAGTGTCAAGTAATTCTTGCATCAAATTTTGGCGCCGTTGCCGGGGATTAGCAACTTTGCTAATCCTTTGTCTTTATTTTTATATTTTGTTTTTCGTGCATTCTTATTTCAAATTCTTAGTTTGTTTGTTTCCTTGTTTTTTTTTTAGGTACTGTGTATGACTCGTAGCTCTCGGCCTATTATAGAGAACATCTCCGACTTTGACGGTGATTTTGAACGCACTTTGAGGAGAACGAGAAGTCAACAAGAGCCACCACAACCTCCACCACAACCTGGGCTTGAAGAAGACGAAGTAGGTGTAGAAGAAAAGCCCACGGATCAGATTTTTGAAGAAGAAC